CTTCTAAAGCTTTGCAACAGTGAAGTGTTTTGATTAAATGTTGATCCTGCTTAGTGTGAAGCTTACAAGTTTTTCTAAGGTTTGTGCATTAATTCAAGTAGTCACAACCTATGTAGATTTGTGGGATGCTATTTGGCTGTAGTCAATACTGAAATCATCATCACTTCTTGGGATATTCCCTTGAATTTCAATAAAACAGAACAAGCTTCTTAGACCCTGGAGTGTTCAAATATTGTCATGAAATAGCTGTCATAGGCTTGTCAAACAGAGGTAAGCAGAAACCTTCATGTCAAGTTCTGGCTCTTGCAGACATAATCTTTCCTGATGGATCATGCCCTTTCTCACCAAGTACACACATGCATGAGCACACTCACACTGTGAAGAACTGTTTCCTACAACCAATTAACCTTTTGCTTATTCAATTACTCAACCAGTATATTTATGTTAAATATAGAGCATTCATTCCTCCTGTGGCTGCATGAATGATGAATAGAGCAAATACAATCATTTATCCAGCTCCAGAAGCTAAAATTACTGTAATAAAAACTTAGGAAATTCCTAATACAAAATTGGACACTGTATGTCCCATTCCTAAGGCTTCTATGACAATGTTCTACAAACATTGTGCCTCAAAGTAATATAAATGTATTCTCCTACAGTCCTGGGAGAGGGGTATGTCTAAAATCTTAGTCTGCAGTGTACCAGGTTCTGCTTTGATGAGTTGTTCTTCTTAGCCTCTTTCCAAGCACCTGCTGAAACCATGGTGAAATTCCTTGGTTTGTTGATATATAGTACCCAAATCTCTACTGCCATGGTAGTATGGCATTTTGTGGCACACACACACAGATATTCCTCTTACCAATCATTGTTTTATGGACAACCCAAATCTAGTACAGCATCAACTTTTTAAATTGATAGAGACCATCTTTCCGGATGAGATCACACTTACAGGAATTACAGTTAGGACTGAAACATACTCTACAATGGAATTTATACTAAAGTCTCATGCTAGCGAGCAGTTAATTCTGGGCACAT